CGATCCGCATCCTGCGGACGTACGCGTGCGGGATGCTCACAGGGCTCGCGGTGGAAGAGGCCCTAGGTCTGGCTTTCCTCTCTCGGCACTGGGAGCATGGTATAAGCACACCCCGTTGCTCTTCAAACATCCCTCTCTCCTTCCCGAGCCTCCTGCTCCAGGCAGGGCTACCGCCAGGCCCCTCATGCCAAGGCTGCTTTCCCTGCTCGCTTCCCTCTGCTCAGCGCACCTTACGGGGTGCTGCCTGGAAGGAAATGCCCCGGGCCTGCAGCTGTACCGGCGCCGCTGCTACTGCCCCAGTGCGAGCTCTCGTCAACCAAACTTCGGTCGGCAGTGGCACCCTCGTCAAGCCATGTCCGCAGGCAGGATGTAGAAAGCCCCGCTCACTCGCCTGCAGCACGGCGAACGCTGTCCGGCACAGGAGGCGAGCCCAGGGAGCAGCACCGGGATGGGGGGAGCAGGCGTGCTGTGCTCCCTCGGGCACGCCTGGAGGGAGAGCAGGGCAGCGTCCCCAGAGGCTGTCAGGGCATCTGCGTCGGAGACCTGAGCGCTCCCTGTTCTGCCCCCCCAACCTTCCTTCTCACCGAGTTGGGGGTCAGTGGTGCTCCTACTACATCAATGATCTGGTCCTTGGCATCTCCCTTGACCTCCTCGATGCCGAGCCCGGCCTGGCCGTCTGGGTGGGTACCTTCCGCACCGAGGGGGCCGATACTACCAGCTTTGGCCAGGGCCTCGTAGCGGTGCCGTAGCATCTGCAGCTCATATTCGCAGTTGGCAAAGGCTTGCTTCAGCTCGTAGAGCAGCACCAAGTCACTCCGCAGCTCGTTGAACATCTGCACGATCTCCTCTGTGGGCATGGGGTTGAGATCTAGGGAGAAAAAGGGGTTCTGTTTAACACCCAGGCCTGCAACCCTCCGACGGAAGATGCCCAGAAAGGTCCTGGCTGCCCAGTTCACTCCCACAAAGGAGGAGCCTCGCTCCCATCCACGGTTCATTAGCAACCAGCATCCCCGTGGGTCAGAGACCTGAATTCCCAGGCTGTCCTTTGGCTCTGGCCAAGGACTGAGGGTGAACCTGCAAAGCCCAGGACTCGGGAAGGGAAGCACGATGGAAGGCGCAGACCAGGCGACTGAACCTTGTTACCCAGCGGGTCCCCACGACGGGGAGCTCAGTCCCGGGAACAAGCCCTCACACACTGCTGTAGAGAACAGAAACGCTCCTGCTGCCCCCCCACAACCTCCCAAAAGAGGGGTGGACAGGCTGAGCCCCTCTTTTGCTCCTCCCAGGGTAGGAGTGCGGCAGAGAACTGCTGTGCTGCTGTGTCACAGACGCGAGCTGCCCGTAGCAGAGGCTGGCAGACCCCCTCCCCACACCACACATCCTGCTGCAGTCCATCACACATGCACAGGGAGCCAGGAAGAGCTGCGTGTTCCGGAGAAGAGAAGGGCAAAGCTCTGTGTGTTTTTCCTGCCGTACAGCAGCGGACCCTGCCCACAGACCCCTTCCTGCCAGCAGTCTGTTCACCCACCCAAAGCCCAGGCTGAGGCACAGCAGGGCTGGAGCACCAGGAAGCCCTTGAGATAGGTGTATTTTCTAAGGCAGGAGCCGGAAAAGTGAGCTCTAAGAAGCACTCGCATCCTTCCCCAAGGTTTCCCTAGCAAGCAAAGACGGCAACTCCCTCAGTTTTAAAGCAGAAAGGGGAAACCACCCTGGTTGAGCCGCTTTCACCAGCCACAGGAGACCTTCAGAACTACACACAGTCTCCCAGACAACGTACCGAGCCGTAAACCGGTTGGCCCAAAAACCTAACACGAGTTAACAGAAGCCAGTGCTGGGAGCAGGCTCTAATCTCTTGTAAATCACCAATAAGGCTTTTTTTTCCCCCCCGCCTCTCTTCCCTTTTTTTTCTTTTAAAATTCCCCCCAGCCACAGTGAGGGGGGGAACAGGGATCATCGGGTCTCTAATCAAGGGGCACTGCACGCTGGGACCTGCAGTACCCGCAGACTGTACCCACTGCACGGAGGGCAGCAGCTAGCCACGGGCCGCGCTTCTTCCCCTCTAGCTACGAGCGGGTATTGTGCGTGGTAAGTGAACCCTCCTTTCTGCTGCTAAGACACTGGAGTTCAAGAGCGAGGGATGTGTGTTTACTCGCCTTTCAGCGGAGATGCTCCAGATTTTCACACAGCGTGCAACCTATAAAGGGTGGGGGGGATGAAGAGTCCCAGACCCATTTTGGACTTGCCACCGTGAGCAGTAAATTAAGAGGAAACGAAGCTTGAAAGCAAGACAGGGCAGCCCTGAACAATGCGCGTGCCGTGGTCACTAACACACTTAGAAGTACCTCTCCTGGCAAGGCTGAGATTTGCCTTCCTAATACTGTGCTGCCTCTCTTGATGTTTAAAAAGGCCCAAACAAGAGAGAAACAAAGGCTCTTTTAAAACATTTTTCTACTGGAAGAAAAAAAAAAAAAAAAAAGCCCTGTGCATCTTGTTCTGGCTTTTACCCTCTTTCTTTTTATTTTTTTGAGCACATAAAATATTTTAAAAACCATTCACATACTGTTATTCAAGAAACTGGCTGTATTACTAGGGGAAAAAATAGCCCATCTTGAGAACAAAGGCTAGCTCTGTGTGTCTCTTTCTCTCTCTCGTGTGCCCCCTTTACTCACCTACTCCGAGTTCCATCAGCATCTGCTCCAGGGCTTTAATCTTCTTCTGTCCCACCGAGCTTGGCAGTTTCATCTGGAACACAAAGGTAACAGAGCCACACAGCTCAGAGATAGCCCTCACTCACAGCCGTCTAGTTCAAAAGGCAAGAGAGCTTTTCTTTTTATAGTGCAGGGGGAACAAAAAAAGAAAGGGAGAGAAAGGAAAATCAAGTGGTAAGAGCGGGAGACAGGGGCTGAAAGTTTTCAGACTAGGTCCGAGGGCAGGTATTGAAAAGCCCGGTCGTGAGGGCTTTTATTTTCGCTCTCGCGTGTGTGCAAGACACGCTGTTTTACAGTTTCCATGTGTCACTGAATTAACAACAAAAGTTCTTCTTGGCTTCAAACCCCCTCCCGCGGTGCCCAGCCCATCAAAGGGCTCATTTACACAGCGGCTAATGTGCAACGCTGCCCTACTTTATTCGCTTTAGCCGGCCTGATTAGACTCATGCGCTAACAGACTCACTTCTCCTTTTACCTGCTGAGCCCCAGACCTGTGGGATTCATTTACAGAGCAAGCTTTATAACAAAGGGGAGAGACAGAGAGAGCACAGTTACTTGACTGGCGGAAGTGTGAACACACATTTACATCGGAGCTAAGGGGCTAGGTGAGAGAGGAAGCATCAGATGTGAGCTATGAAAGGGAAGCGGCGCTGGCCAGGAGAGGAAGAATGCATACACTTAGCAGGGTCCTTCCTCTGCATTCATTTGGGCTCTAGCAGGAGTGCTAGCTGCTCAGACCAAGCGTTTATTAGATTACAAGCAGCACAAACGCAGCTGGCACAATATGGCAGGGAGAACAGGTTTCCAAGCCCCGCGGATATATCCAACAACAAATGAAAGCGCTTTCCTTCCCCTGCAATGCTCCCAGACAGAGCGGGAGAGAGATGACTCGCAACACCGCAGTGTCAAACGCCTCACCGGGGACAGGCGCGGGCCGTCCCTCCCCGTGCAACCCCGGGAAGGTGAGCCCACCCCACCCGGGCAGCTGCCCTGCAAGCTGCTGAACGGCCAAGAGGCGAGAGCATCCGCCCTGCACACCACTTACCGACCAGCGGCCCCAACCTTGGCCAAACCAACCACGGGACTGCAATGCTGGGCTGCGAATGACCTGATGGAAGAGCCATCCACCTTAAAACCCGGCTCTGAGCTCAAAGGGTCCCACAGTCACCTCGTTTCCCATAAGCCACAGGCTGAAGTTCCCCAAAACAGCCCAACGTGAGTCTCCCGAACGAGGCACATCTTTTCCGCACTGTTCGCTGCCCCAACACAGAAACGACAACAAGGGACACCGTGTGGAGCTTCTGAATTCCCCTGAAGGCAGAAGCACTGCATGCACGTATATGGCCAAGTACGTCCCACCAGGAGCTCCACACCCCCACCGCAGGATCTGCTGGGAAAACCCACCTCCACCACCTCCTTTCAGCCAAGAAACCAGAGCACGGAAGCCACAGAGCACGCTGGGGGCACGGGCCTCTCGCAGTACATGCCAAGAAGCACCTAGTCCTTTTGCTAGATATTGGGACCACAGTTAAGACTCCAGCAAAGGACCAAGAGGACTATCAGGGAAGGATTTCTAGGACACCAACCTGATCCAGG